AACGACCATGTATAGTAAGGCGTTTTTCGACGAAAAAAACGACCATGTATAGTAAGACGTTTTTCGACGAAAAAAACGACCATGTATAGTGAGGCGTTTTTAGCCGAAAAAACGACCATGTTTAGTAAGGCGTTTTTAGCCGAAAAAAACGACCATGTATAGTAAGGCGTTTTAACCCGAAAAAAACAACCATGTATAGTAAGGCGTTTTTAGCCGAAAATAACGACCATGTATAGTAAGGCGTTTTTAGCCGAAAATAACGACCATGTATAGTAAGGCGTTTTTAGCCGAAAATAACGACCATGTATCGTAAGGCGTTTTAACCCGAAACAAACGACCATGTATAGTAAGGCGTTTTTAGCCGAAAATAACGACCATGTATAGTAAGGCGTTTTTAGCCGAAAAAAAACGACCATGTATAGTAAGGCGTTTTTAGCCGAAAAAAACTACCACGTATCGTAAGGATGTTTTTTGTGTCTGATACTTAGGTTCTGTATATTTAATAGGAGAAAACCTTTATGGTTCATACATTTGCATTTAGTCTTCAACAACTGTCTGCTATTATACGTAGTGGCTTACAATAATATTCAATCTAGCTTGTCTGAGTTTTGGTAAACACTACTGCAGGCTATTTTAATGTTGGCCCTGACGCTGGCACCTGGGGAGTTAGGTATTATTTTTTTTCTGGGTGGAACTTGGTGAACAAAAACAAAAAAATGTAATTAGGAAGATGAGCAACCTTGAAGCAAGTAGGCTTGGCACAACAACCCAAGAAGCAGGTGCACATTTCCGTCCGGACCAGTTCAAGCCGCATACTCGAAACCAGACGGATGACATTGCAAGCGTGGCGATATTATCCACGAAAGTGAAACGCGCCACTCGAGGCTCCGCTCCATTCGAGGACACGCACGAGGCGAGGCTGCACCATGAAGGCCAAACTGGAGATCGTGGCCATGGCCTTGGGCTTCCTGGGTTTGTTCGGCGTGGTGGCGGCCACGGCCATGCCCATGTGGCGGGTGTCGGCGTTCATCGGCGCCAACCTCATTGTGATGGAGGTGCTGTGGGAGGGCCTCTGGATGAACTGCTACAACCAGGCGGAAATCAAGATGCAGTGCAAAGTGTACGACTCGCTGCTCATCCTGTCGCCCGAGCTGCAGGCCGCGCGGGGGCTGATGGTGGTCTCCATCGTGGTGGTGGTGATCGCCCTGTTCGTGGCCGGCTTCTCCATGCCGAGGAGCACCTGCTGCCAGGACAACATCAGGGCCAAGAACATCACGACAGCCTTTGCCGGTTGCTTGTTCCTGCTGGCCTGCCTGCTCACGCTGGTGCCCGTGTGCTGGGTGGCGCACACCGTCATCCGCAACTTCTACAACCCGGTGGTGGTGGACTCGCGCAAACGAGAGCTGGGGGCGTCGCTCTTCGTGGGCTGGGCCACCTGCGCCGTCTTGCTGGCCACCGGCTGCGTCCTGCTGCTCAGCTTCGCCAGGCGGCGGTCCAAGGAGAACGCGCTCAACACGGATTCCTACCTGGTGGCCGCCCAGGGCGTCGGCAGCGTGCGCAGCAGCAGGGCGCCGTCCAGTTTTCACAAGTATCAGGAATACGTGTGACGTTGTGCTGGAAGCGGGGCCTTTCTCCTGGGATGATGTCATTCTATGTGAATCCCACGCAAGAACTGACACGGTCCTGCCTTGAGACAAGAGTGACTTGCGGGCAAAAAAATTTGAGATGAGAGCGATGTATGGTGGCAGGGAACTCAAATCACTTAACAGCAAACAGCAATTTGGCAGCAAGGTTAAATAAAAAGAAAGCAGTTTATGGACAATTCCAGTTGAAGTTAATTGTCAAACTAAACAGAAAAAAAAAATTACAGGTTGCATATTTAAAACACGCAGGAGTCCAATTAGCCACATGCTAGCAAACAATGCCAAACAAACAAAGGAAACAAATAGCACCAGTGTCACGGTGTTGCAACCCTCGCAGCGAAGGATTTTGGACACAAATGGTGGAGCAAACTATGTAGACAGACAATGTAACAATATTCATTTGTAGTCACCTTCCTAAAACAAAAACCCAAGTCATTTTAATAAATCTCAATACAGGAAAAAGTGAAAAAAAAAATACTGATTCTATTTATCAATACTGTATTTTAATTTCTGTGTCACTAAATATGTCATGGGCAGTATCATGAGATGTGCATAAAATTAGTTGTACCGTATTTGTGTCTTATACTGCCCTCAGACGGCCAAGGAGAGCACACCAAACACAATGTCCACTGATTTTAAGCAAACAAAAAAAAAAGTGGTAACAGAATTGCATTTTTTTTAACATAACATTTAGTGATGTCTTCACTGTCTATTTTTACAAGGTCCAAAAATAGGGTGCGTTCATCGGAGTGGCTTAGCTGCATTTCCATTTATTTCAATGAAGAAAGATGATTGTTTTGAGTTACAAACATGGCCATGAAACAAATTGTACTCTTATCTCAAGGCACCACGGCGCCGTCCCGCATGTGGGCATCAACTCTGATGGCACGAGACAACCAAAACGTCCTTTGTGTCCTGAATTGTGTCCACACTCATGTGAATAAATGTTGTCAAGTGAAAATAAAATTGCTGTTTTTAATGATTCCATTTTGTCGTTGTTGTTTTACACTTTATAAATAAAGTGAGTGTCAAAACAGAGATTTGTCTCGCAGTCAAGAGATTCTGAGTTTGAATCAAAGTGGAGTTTGCAAAGTCTCGAAAACTCTCCATGGATGTGAATGTGAACAGTTGTTTGTCTCCATCATGCTCTGCGATTGGCGACCATTCCAAGGTCGGCTCCGCCTTTTGCCCTCAGCCGGCGAACCCAATGTTCCACTCAACCCAATCGTAAACGTTGCCAAATGACGCCAAGCTGCTCACTCACGACTCCGGTGCATATCAGAAGGCAAATTGGGAATGTGGCAACCCGCCTGCAACTCAAGAAGCACCAAAACTTGAGCCTGCTTTTCAGCACCTTTTCAGCAGCTCAACTTTTACACAGAAAATCATTTCGTTTTCTGCGCTTTCAATTGAAGTAGCGTGCAAGACGTCACTCGATTGTGTTTTCAGCTCATATCTTTAGCATCGAACTTAAAAGATGTGGAGGTATGCGTTCTCTTTTGCCCTGTACTTAAAGCATGATAAAATCTTTTTTTTTTCATTTCTCAGGTTATGTTTTTCCCGTTCAAGGCATAGTTAAAAACACGTGAACAGTTTCATTGAAACTTGGTCGCATGCCACGACGTTGTGGCAAGGATCCAAGCAGAGGCGCTCGCGGAAAGAGTTTATTTTGTATTTTGTTTCATTTCTAAGTCCTGTTCTTCTGACCAGACTGATTTGGCGGGAGGGTGCGTCATATGCTTCAAGCACGATGGTCCTTAAAAAGCTTCAGAAGTGACAAGATTTTATTACCGGACATTGATGGGTATTTTTTTTTTCTTTTTTTAAAAGATACCTTAATTTTCATGAGAGACAATGTCGTTTGAAGCTTTTTAAGGACCATCATGCTTTTATTACCGGACATTGATGGGTATTTTTTTTCTTTTTTTTAAAGATACCTTAATTTTCATGAGAGACAATGTCGTTTCAATTCCTTATAATCATCCTTTTGAAAGTTTTTGCAGCGCATCGAGCGAAGGTTCTGATTTGGTCACATGATCATTTAACTTTCCATCGAGCAAGTGCCGGTCGAGTTGGATCGAAAAAGGAAAAAGCTGACGTTGCGCCGGAAGTCAAACGGCCAATGAAGTTTCATGTTTTTGTCGCGTCGGTTTTGATTGGGCTCTCGAAGCGCTCGGGGCGGACGACGGTCGGGGCGGCTCAACCTGCTCGACGACCTCGCGCCGTCGTTCGAATTTTTGTGTCTGTATAACCACCTCGGCCGGTCGGGCTCCTCAGACTCCTCTCCGCCAGTCGCGAGAGCGCCGCCAGTGTGCTCAACCAATGGCCTCCTACACGGCCTACAGCGGCTACACCAAGCCGGCGGTGTCCTACGCCGCCTCGTACTACGACGAGAAGCGGCCTTACTCGGCGCCCTACACGGCGCCCTACACGGCGCGCTACACCGACTACACCGACAACAAGGACTCGCTGTACGAGGAGAAGAAGAAAATCGAGAAGAGGAAGCGCAAGTACGCCTATTGCTGCGAGGTGGTGGCCCTGGTCATCGGCTTCATCGGACTCATCGGCGTGGCGGCGACGACGGGCCTGCCCATGTGGAGGGTGACGGCCTTCATCGAGGAGAACATCATCGTGATGGAGACGCGCTGGGAGGGCTTGTGGATGAACTGCTACCGGCAGGCCAACATCCGCATGCAGTGCAAGGTGTACGACTCGCTGCTCTTCCTGCCGCCCGACCTGCAGGCGGCCCGCGGCCTGATGTGCGCCTCGGTGGCCGTCACCTCCTTCGCCCTCATCGTCTCGGCCGTGGGCATGAAGTGCACCAAGGTGGTGGACCACCGCGCTCGCACCAAGCACATCGTCCTGGTGACCGGCGGCGCGCTCTTCCTGCTGGCCTGCATCACCACGCTCATCCCCGTGTCCTGGACGGGCCACCGGATCATCCAGGAATTCTACAACCCGCTGCTGATCGACGCCCAGCGGCGGGAGCTGGGCGAGGCGCTCTACATCGGTTGGGTGACTTCGGCCTTGCTGTTCGCCGCCGGGGTGATCCTGCTGTCTCGCCACGCCCCCCGCATGCAGGAGCCCGAACAGAGGGTCATATACAACCCCGCCTCGTACGTCTACGGATCCGCGTACGGGCCGCAGAGCAACTACCAGCCCGCGTACACCTACCAGCCCGCCTACTCCGCACCGCCGCCGGGGTCTCTCGCCTACACTCCGGTGCAGTAGGCCGAGACGGCTGCGCAGAGACCATCTTGCTTACGCTTGCTAAAATAAGTGACGTTTTTTTCTAAACTGACCTGGAAAAGGCTGAAGACAAAAAAAAAAAAAAGTATTCCAGTGAGTGTGTGTGTGTGATTTTTTGTGGAACGGATTGATTTGATTCATGTCTTATGCGCATCACGATGACGATGTTTTTGACGATGATTGTCGATTTGCCCTTTGCGGCCTCTATTGAAATGTTCTTTGAGAAAATGATGCCCTAAGAGAAAATGCATTTTTTTTTGTTTTTTTTTTTACACCGTTGAGGTTTTATGAACTGTACATAGTTGATTTTTATTTCGAGGGCCCTCTCCGGTGCTCAATAAATAGAGACGGTTGAGGAAGAAAAAAAAAAAAAAAAAAAGGGCCTTTGTTGATTTTGTTTTCCGGGATCGTGTTTGACTCAGCGGTGAGCCGAGGCGTTGTTATGTCTTTTGTCGACATCAACGATGCAGCTCGACTGGTCCGACAAGAACATTGTCACAGGTCCACCCACCAGACAAAACAGACACCGGATGTCTGAGCTGCCGCAGCAGGAGACAATTACCCGTTTGACATTTCACTAAAGCACAAACAGAAAGTGCAACCCACGTGCCAAGAACCTCACAAGATGAGATGAAATCAAACACAACTTCAGGCGAAGCGAGGATGCGACTGATTCTGAGCCATATCGGACCAAACATTGCCGCAGTTGAGGTCAAAGGCCAAATCTGCAATGCAACACGGATGTGAAGCGGCTCAGTCAAGCGCAGGGGCACATTCAGATCAACAACCAGTCACACTCAAATTTGAACCAATGGTCAATTTCAAGTGAAGCTAATAAGCAGTTTTGGGGGTGTGGGGGACTTTCGGCTGTCAGGCAGATGTTCGAGCCACGATAGCACCCCGATTATTCGTTCAGCGATGGCAACGTTTCGCAGGCATTTTCCATAAGTTGCCGACTCCGTCGAACACAGGTGTGAAGCGGTTCTTGGAAACATACGAGTTGATCCGTCCATTTTGGTGGCCTCAGTTTGGTTGTGGGTGAGCTGGAGTATTTCTCTGCTGATGTCGGGTGAGAGGCCTGCTGCACCCCTGGACTGAACGCCAGCCAATCGGCGTCACGTACACAAACAAACATTGACAATAGCAACTATGCTAATTTAGCGTCTTCATCCGTCCATCCACTATCTGATCGGCGTCTCTTCATCGGGGTCGCGGGCGCGCTGGAGACTAGCCGAGCTGTCATCGGGCAATAGGCGAGGTACACCCTGAACCGGTTGTCTTCAATGAGACAGTGACGGTACTCGAACAAAGTGCTGCAAATGACAAGGAACCAAAGTAACAAACAAAACTAGGACAGGAGCACACAGACACTCACGATCCCAATGATCCAACAAAGACCGACAGACCGCAGGGACAAACACAACTTCAGGCGAAGCGAGGATGCCACTGATTCTGAGCCATATCGGACCAAACATTGCTGCAGTTGAGGTCAAAGGCCAAATCTGCAATGCAACACGAGACAACGAGAAACACCCGGACAAGACGCAAAGGGCTGAGGGAGCCGATTGGTTCAGCAAGAGGGACACGCATGACGAGAACAGGTCGAGACAAAAAGGGCACCAAACCAAACGTAACCCAAAAAAACATAACACAAAGTGGATTTGAACCCAGAACCGCTCGACCGTGAGTTCACCGATAGCGCCGAGGAAATGAACACCCCGTCTGTAATAGACTTCCTGGTCAGAGCAGGTGTCAAGATGTAAACCGAGAAGTTTGAGCAAACAAGGTGGAGGCTTACAACGGCTCCTGTTCGCTGCACAAAGACACAATTGGCCTAAGGGGAGTCGGTCTCCTAGCAACCGGTCTCAATCCACACCCCTCCCTGTCCCGTACGCAGAGCAGGTGAACTCCTCCCGTCTCCACCGGGATTGCGGCCACATCCCCGGCGGGACGAGCTCCGTTCCTGTCGCAGTCGCTGCCGCAGGCGCGTGGGGGGCCGGGCCAGGAGG